TATATATATATATATATATATATATATATATATATATATATATATATATATATATATATAGGTGGATATATAATTTTAATGAATTTCGTATATGGTTACCCACGAACGACATCATTTCATCCCATTATAAATCATACCAAGAACTTTAATTCCTTAATATTTTCCTTAATAGATATCACTTTCATTTTCTGTGCAATATTCAGCAGGTCAGTAGTCATAGCAATATTTCAATGTTTTTGTTCATTAGACAATAATTTTTCATCAGTAGCAATTTTTTCCGCAGGCATTTCAACTTTTCCAAGGCGACCATTTCTATAATCATCCACCAAACCCCACAGATCAAAATAAAGTTCTGTTGGAAAATTGAAGTCGTTCATATCTGACTGAAAAATAGTTGGTTAAAATTACGAATAAAAAGAACCTCGTAGAAATTTCAAAGTAGAAATTTTTTTATATTTCGAAACAGAAATTGAAATTTATTTTAAACTTTGTCATACCATATAACATATGATGAGATTTATTAGCTTTTTATTAATTGAGAAAGAAGTAATATTAGTCATATGCTATTATTTTGCGCAATAATAAATATTGCAAATCAGTAAAGCAATAAATAGATGTGCCTAAAAATAAGCAAAAATCATTGGGAAATTTTCGTTACCTTTTTCAAAACACTTTTAAGATCATTGAAGTTTTTGCATGATGAAATCATTTCCCATATTGTTTGTGCCAAATCATTGTCGTGAAAACCAAAATATGAATCGAATATCTCATTCATCTTATTAATTATCAATGCATTTGGCATTTCCTATATATATACATCAAATAAAATTTTGAATAAATTAATTGACTCCTGCTTAATTAATCAGCTCCTTAATTAACTCCTGTTAATAAAGAAAATGCAAAAGTTCCTGTTAATATGTTCGGAAAAAAAAAAACAGAATTAGAATAATGTTACCTGTACAACTATCGTTCCATCAGCTTTAAACCGTATTGTTTCATTTGCACCCAAAATTGATCGTATACGCTTTGGTATACTGTAAGGAGCTATAAAGTTAAACCCTGACCGTTTTGGTTCAACCAATCGCATAGTGAACCTAAAAAAAGACTACAAAACAATAAATTTAATTTTTATTTCCGAAAATTGATGTGGATAAGCATAAAAATAAAACCGGATAGAATGGCTACGAAAGAATTTCAACAAAACAATCAAATTATTTGCAAAAAATTATATGAAACTATTACAAGTTTCACTTTCATTTTTGAATTTCAAATACTACAGATAGAGAAAGGTTGAACTTTAGGAATTTTATCAAAATATTACATTTAGAAAATAATAAATCGTTAATTTATTGCATTTTAATTTAGCTTCAAAATAACGAAAATTAGGAAATTAGAAATCAAACTAACGTTGAGCCAACAGGTAGCATACGCAAACGTCGTGCAACATCAAAATGTCTTCGTCCAACCATACTTTCAGCATCTATTTTTTCAATAAAATCGCCGACCTGTAAATTGTAACATTTCATTTACTTCTCATTACCAAATCTGAGCTTATCATACCAAATTTGCTTTAGATTAATATATCAATAATGGATGTTATTTTTGAATATCTAATTTAGTTTGAAAGTTTGATGGTAATTTTAGTGAGAAATAAAAGCTAAACGATGGAATGTACTAAGAGAGTAGATAGTAAAAAATTACAATTCAATTTTTCCTTCCTTATCATATTTTCTAAATTACAATACCAATAATTACCTCAAGTGCCGGTTTTGCTTTTGACGTTACGGTACCAGGAACGATTCGTTTGATAAATGCTTTTCCTGCTCCATTATCCGTTATTGTCAGACCCAATGCTCTAGAAATTACCACTGTCACATGTAATATTTCACTGGGATCACAGAGGAATAAATAATATTTACTAATGCTCATTGCTATAACTGATTAATAAAATACCTAATTTGAATACTTGAAATTCCTTTTAAAGCACTCTTTTCCGAAAAAGTTTCATTTATTGTCAAAACCAAATGATGAAATCGTTTTAATAAATATAATCAATTTATGATATTTTATTAAAACTAATTATATTGGAAAGAGGAATACGCACTACTCCTGCCAATTCCTCTTCCAAGAATACAACACCTATGATAAATGCAAAGAGTAATGATATTTAAAGACGTGTTGTAATTAGAAAATAATAGAATAAATGTATTTTAGAGCAAAAATAAATTTTTAAAAAAAAATAAATTAATGATTACGGCAGGGAAAAAATAGAAAATTGTCGCCATGTGAAAAATTTTATCAGGGAAATTATCGAAATTGAAATTTTCATGCATTTGAAAAAAAAACCCTTTTTTCTTCATTAGTCAATGGCAATGAAAAATTTTAAATATCATTGATTTAATTTTGATTAATATTATTTCCAATATTCATTTATGATAGATATCATTACGGTTCAGTTTTGACCAGTGTTACTTCTTTCTTTTGCCCCGCAATATGTGCAAAAATAAAATCATTGGTATTTAAATTTGAACAAAGCAAAGCATCCATGGAAATTCGATGCGTATTAACTGTACAAAATAAAATGTCATCCATAGATATTTCATCATAACAATTTGCTATTGCCTGAAGATATGCATTTTTTTTTAAAATAAATTCATTTTAACCTCAAAAAATTAATAGTTTGAACTTTTTTGCTTATTTCTTAGCAAAAATTGTCAAATTTATATAATTGATTCAGTCATTTATATTAAATTTGTAGATGAACCATATCTGCGAGTACCTGATTGTTTTTTTTTCTCTTTTTTTTTTTTTTTATGCAAAAAACTAATATATGTCATTAGTAACGATTGACATTCATACGATTGTCAAATATTTAAAATGTGACAAAGTTTCATGTTTTCATGTGAAATGTGATGCAGTAAATGATGTCAACTTATACTCTCTTGCATTACTGTGGTATAAAGTTGCATGACTGATACAGTAAATTATACTTTAACAAATTATATGAACAATAATAAATTGATTATAGTACCTGATATAACTGGAAAATGTTGTTAAAGCCACTAATGATACCAGTTGGACTACCATGTGCTAATTGCACCTGAAAGGTTAATTTAATATTAGCATTAGTAACGTATGTTTTGACTAAGCTACTCGATTTCATTTCATTAGACGGTCCAATGGTACTCTGGTCATGTTGCTCCTTTTGTTGCTGTTTGTGACAATTTTCATTTGTTGCACCTGGAATTACGAGAAATTATTAATACGTTGTGGTCCACTATGCCTATCATATCATCAATAGAAGAATAGAATTTTGACTCTTTTCAAGTATATTCTAGGCTTTTAAGTATTTAAGAGTTTCTAGACTAAACAAACTTTTTTTGTTCGATTATTTACCGCTTGTCGTGATAGCTGCTTGATTTTGTTGTTGTTGTTGTTCGGGTAATTTGACATTAATACTCGGATTACTGTTAATAGATGTGTTAACCGGATTAGTTAGTGATGCATCAGTAGTGCCACCCATACGACCTTGCTTTTTCATTAATCGACGATGCCATCGTTTCCCGCGATATATCGGTGGTAAACCTTTTTGTGGTCCTGACCGTTCCAAATTTTGCGCATGACGTTGCCATGAACGTGAACGACGACGATTATAAGAAACCTTTACGGGGTTTCGTCTGGGAAAATTTTTCCTATTTATTAATCATAAGTTAAAATGATCAGCTGATAACACTGAAACTTATTTCCTGCTTCATACTGTAAAGTTTACAATCAACTCAGAGCTATTTATTATCACTTGAACTACTAGTAGCTTGTCTTGTTCGATCTTAGAACACAAACATACTATACAGTTTCGGTCTAAATTCCTGCAATAAATGTTGTCATATGTCAAATGTGACCATTAAGTTTCACTTATTGATAATTGTCTTTCACTCTGATTTTATCGCATTAGATATTTCTGCGAATAAAATACTTACTGTGTATCCTCAGAACTTCCTTCATATCCTCTACTAGAAGTTTGTCTAACCATACTGATATTATCATTACCATTACCACCGTTACCGCTAGTGCTACGGTTACGACTATGTAAGGAATTTTGTGATGCAAGACGACCGCCTACTTCCATAAGTTCTTGCTAGGAATAAGTAAACTATGCTCAATGCCGATCTTTTATATTCACTTTTCCTTTTTCTTTTTT